GGGGTGTGTGTGTAAAACTTAAGACAGACAGGCAGATAGGGTTGCCAACTCCAGGTTGGAAACTTCCAGGATAGTTTAGGAATGAAGCCTGCTGAGGGTGGGGTCTGAGGAGGAGGAGGAGGAAGAGAAAGAGGAGGACCTCAGACAGATACAATGCCATACTCCCCACCCTCCAAACAAGCTGTTGCCAGTCTCCAGGTGACAGCTGGAGAGCTCTTAAAGCTCTGGTGCTAATTCAAAGTGCTGCAATTTGTCGACAGAGTAGTGTTTTGGCAAATCTTTAGGAATTGTTTGGTGCATTTACGATGAGGCACCCACCCAGAGCCTCTGGCATTTTCTCACTCTGCTGGCATCAAAACCAATTTAAGGCAAAATAAGAGGCTACTGAGAGGGGAGGAGATAAAGTTGCCAGCTTTAGGTATGGAAAATCCTGGAGATTTGAGGAGTGGAGGCCGGAGAGGGGGTCATCAGACAGGTTACAGTGCCATAGACTCCACCCTCCAACCCAGCTATTTGCTCCTAGGGAACTATTGTTGCTAATCTTGGCCCAGCACCCATCAAACCATTCTCTTCAACCCCCTGCTGTGCAGCTGACTTTCCCCTAGGGTTGCCAATCTCCAGGTGGGACCTGGAGATCTCCCACTGTTACAATTGATCTCCAGATGACAGAGATCAGTTCCCCTGGAGAAAATGGATGCTTTGGAGGGTAGACCCTATGACATTATACCTGCTGAGTCCTTCCACCACCCCCCATGCTGCCCTCTACAGAATCCACCCCCCAAACCTCCAGGTATTTCCCTCCTTAGAGCTGGCAACCCTACATTCCCCTCAGTGCCTGTTGGTAGGCAACTAAGCTTGGTCCTGTCACCTACTTTGGCCTTTGGGAGAAAACACATTGGGGCCAATCCTGATAGGGTTGCCAACTCCAGATGGGAAATTCCTGGAGACTTGAGGGATGGAGCCTGAAGAGGGTGAGGTTTGAGGAGGGGTGGGACCTCAGACAGGTACACTGCCATAGACTCCACCCTCCAAACCAGTCAGTCCCACATAGGGAACCATTGTTGCCAATCTCCAGGTGAGGGCTGGAGAGCACTCAGTATTACAACTGTTCTGCAGAAGGGAGGGCAGAAGTCAGCTGAAGTCAAAGGGGCAGATAATGGTAGGTTGATGGCTAGCTGGGAAGGAGATGGGGTTGCCAACTACATCCTGACAAATTCCTGGGGATTTGAGGGGTGGAGCCTGGAGAGGGTGGGGTTTGCAGAGGGGTGGGACCTCAGACAGGTAGAATGCCATAGACTCCACCCTCCAAACCAGCCATGTTGTCCTGGGTAACAATTGTTGCCAATCTCCAGGTGAGGGCTACAGATTACTCACAATTACAACTGTTCTTCAGGTAGCAGAGATCAGTTCCTCTGGAGAAAACAGTGGACTCTGTCATTATACCCTGCTAAGGTCACCACAGCAAATTGACACTGTTTGCCCAAAGCCAGAGCACTGCCCCAGAGCCTCTTTCTAGATCCCGTTGTATTGCTTTCACAACGGGCTTTACTGCTAGTAAGTCATAACACACGCACAGACAATCTTATTTTCCTTGCTGGTCCCCCCTCCTTGTCTTTGTGGGCACCTGGTATGACATGCAACAGGTGAAGGGCTTCTCCTGACATTCAACAGGTGAAGGAGGGAGGAGAATTCTAACCAGGCAATCTGAGAAGCTAAGACAGATACTCCTGTCCACCCCATTAATATCTCCACTACTGTTAAATGAAGTAATTGTACTCTCCAGTGACCAGCTTGATTTAATTTTTTAAAACATTTTATTCATATCCTGCCTTTCTCCCCAATGGGGACCCAAAGCAGCTTACATCATTCTCCTCTTCTCCCTTTTATCCTCACAACAACACTGTGAGGAAGGTTAGGCTGAGAGTGTGACTGGCCCAAAGTTCCCCCAGCAACCTTCCTGGGCAGAGCAGGAATTCGAACCTGGGGCTCCCAGCTCCTAGCCCAGCACTTTAACCGCTACGCCATGCTGGCTCTCTGTTTGCAGCTAGGATACATCCTATCCAACTGGTTTGCATCTTTGGAACGTGTGACAAAAATAGTTATTGAAGCATTTATATCCCACCTTTCCTCATGGTTCCAGGCGGCTTACAATAATATTAGTTGTTGCAGATTTTCCGGGCTGTATGGCCGTGGTCTTGGCATTGTAGGACCTGACATTTCGCCAGCAGCTGTGACTGGCATCCTCAGAGGTATGACACAGAAAGATGGAGGACTCTGTGTCAAGGTGAGCAGAAAAATGGTAGGTAGGTAATTTATATGTACTCAGGAAGGTGGGGTAGGGCTGAATCATTATCTTGTAGGAGTCCCCCAGGCTGTGATATGCTAATGGAGGAGCTTTTCTGAGGAGGTTCTTTTGCATATGGGATACTAGTTGGAAAAAAAATTCCAGTTAAAATCAAAAATAAAATAAACCCCAGATCTCTCCCCCACTGGGTGTCTCTGACCATGTGCAGAGTGCATTCCTCACTAAGTCATAACCAGAGTCCAGCCTGTGCATCCTTGCTTACAGGCTTCCAGCAGGCTAAAGCAAATGGAGTGTGCTGTCCACTCCTACACCTGCAAGCAGGCATTACCATAGCACAGCTGGTTCAAACGGCGCTCGTGACAAATCTCTCCTTCCCCTCCTACCAAGTCCTACAGCACTACTGAGGAGCCTTGACAGGCAAGGAATGAGCGACCACAAAGGAGGGCAGTGACTACCACCCCACTCCGGCTTTCCCTGGCAGTGGTCTTCTACCGGCTTGAAATCTCGATGCTTTCCAGGTTGGATGTGGTGAACAGCGGCTGAAAGAGAGGGGTGCCTACAGACACACAGAAGCACACCACAGGGTAACAGTAAGTGTTTATTGGACAGCATCAGCGCCCTCAGCTCCTCTGCATGCACCCCCATGTGTGAGGAGGAGAAGAGGAAGAAGAAGAAGAGTTGGTTTTATACCCCGCCCTTCACTACCTGAAGAAGTCTCAGAGTGGCTTACCATCACCTTCCCTTTTTCTCCCCACAACAGACACCCTGTGAGGTAGGCGGGGCTGAGAGAGCTCTGAGAGAGCGGTGACTAACCCAAAGTCACCCAGCCGGCTGCATGTGGAGAATAGGGGAATCCGGTTCTCTGGAGTCCTGCCGCTCTTAACCGCGACACCAAACTGGCTCTCGGGGCGGGGGGGCAGGCTTTGAGGCAGGGAGTTGTGCAGTGGCGATAATTCAGGAGCGGGGAAAGGCTTCCAGACCACGCTCGAGGAGAGAGAGGTTCATGCCGTTGGGGACGCGAATGCACGTGACTCCTGGGCAGAAGCAAGAAAAGACACAAGGAGCAAAAAAAAGAAAGAAAGAAAGAAATTGGGAATTCAAAGAGAAACATATACAGTTCTTTATAAATGCATCCTATGAATCTGTCTCGATCTGGAAAATTGGAAATAGATTTAATCTGCATTGGAACTAGATTACAGGAAGAAATATCCAGTCTCGTGCTTCCAGTTCTGCATTCAAAATGAGTTACATCCAGTGTTCCCTCTAAGCTGAGTTAGTGTGAGATAGCTCACAGTTTTTTAGCCTCTGGCTCACACATTTTTGTCTTTGCTCAGGAAGGAGGGCCCCAGAGCAAACTGATGTATGCAGCAGCCGAATCGCTGGCTCACAACTTTAATGCCATTAGCTCAGAAAGCAGAATTTTTGCTCACAAGACTCCACAGCTTAGAGGGAGCATTGGTTACATCCAGTGTTCCCTCTAAGCTGAGTTAGTGTGAGCTAGCTCACAGTTTTTTAGCCTCTAGCTCACAGATTTTTGTCTTCGCTCAGGAAGGATGGCTCCAGAGCAAACTAATTTATGCAGTAGCCAAATCGCTTGCTCACAACTTTAATGCTAGTAGCTCACAAACTATAATTTTTGCTCACAAGACTCCACAGCTTAGAGGGAACATTGGTTACATCTGTTGTGTTGTTTGTATAAACACATTCATTCATTCATTCGGGGCCCTGACCTGGATGGCGAAGGTTAGCCCAGTCTTGGAAGCGAAGCAGTACCCGTCCTGGTTAGTACTTGGGTGGGAGACCACCAAGGAAGCCCAAAGCTGCCATGCAGAGGTAGGCAATGGCCAACCACCTCTGAACTTCTCTTGCTTTGAAAATCCTACGGGGTCTCCGTAAATCAGCTGTGACTTGAAGGCACATTCCCCTACCAATTCGCATTGGAGTTCTTCAGTATTTAGGTATTCTGAGGGAATAAGTGACAGCTAAAGAACATTCAATGGGAACTACAGTCCTGCATTCACTTCGCTGTTTCGTCGGTCGTCAGCTGACTAGCCATTCCATGGAAAGAGTTTCCTGACTCAATGCTCCCTCTAAGCTGTGGAGTCCTGTGAGCAAGAATTCTTCTTTGTGAGCTACTGGCATTAAAGTGGTGAGCGAGCGATTTGGATGCCGCATAAATTAGTTTGCTCTGGAGCCCCATCCTTCCTGAAGGAAGACAAAAAATGTGTGAGCCAGAGGCTAAAAAACGGTGAACTAGCTCACACTAACTCAGCTTAGAGGGAACACTGTTACCTGTAGTAGTTTTGTTACATAGTGTTTTCTGTGGATGAACAGACCCCAAGTACCAGGCCCGTAGCTACAGTGGGGCCTTTTGGGGCCTGGCCCCCTGACTTCCTACCAAGGCCCCCCCACTTCCATCCAGCCCCCAGGCCTCCCGGCTCTCTGGGCCACCGGGAGAACTCCCCACCACCGCCCCCTCCCCAAGCATGGCTTGCTTCCCCATGCAGGCAAGCCACAAGCAAATGCCACAAGAGTGAGTTTTTAAAATTTTATTATTACTTTTTTATTTGTGACATCAGTGCCCCCTGACTTATTTAAAGGCCCCCTGAGTTACAAACTCCTGGCTACAGGCCTGCCAAGTTCAGTGATCAGCTCTACTTCATTAAGTGATTTCGGCAAGGAGAAGGGAGACAAAATCCCAGGCAGAAGCCTGGTTTTTAAGCATGCAAAAAACCACACACTCCCCACTCCCCAAACACTCCCCACTCCCAACGATAGGCTATTTACATCACATTGTTTCCCTATTGGTCCATTCTAGGATCCTAGCCGACTATTGTTTTGTGGATGCAAGCTCAACCCGACCCCAGGGCTAGTTTAGGGCTGACTCATCCTTGGTACACAACAAGTTTTGTGTCAGAAAATGGGGACAGGGGAAAGAGCCGTCAAGTCACAGCTGACTTATGGTCGCCCCAGCGAGGGGCTTTCGAGGCAAGAGATGTTCAGAGGTGGTTTGTGTTGGGTTACAGTGAGATATTGAAAAAAAAAAGGTATTTAGCAGAGATAAGATAGCCCAGCAGAGCCTGAGTAAAATAATTCAGACTGTGAGTCCATGTGTGATTAAAATATAAAGTTTTTACTAAATTCTAGCATGGGAAGGGTAACTGGGATGAAAATAACAACAGAGCATAATCGGCTACATCCTTACACTACAAAGACAAAACTAGAAAAGAGAATGGCTGCTCTCCTTCTTCTTCAGAACACCAAAAAACAAAGACGGGAAGAGAAGCCATAAAATGGTAATACACCTTGACACTTTAGTCCCAATCAAATTCCTAGATCAGGGAGAAAATTCCCGGGCATCCTACAGCTAAAGAACATTGGTTACATGAGAAACATGTGACTTCCTGTGAGTCACATAAACTAACATTTAACCCCAGATATGCTGAGTGTTTTCAACTTGTAATTCCCAACAGTTTGCCATCGCCTGCGTCATGACCCTGGTATTCTTTGGAAGGTCTCCCATCCAAATACGAGCCAGGGTAGACCCTGCTTAGCTTCTGAGATCTGACAAGATGGGGCTTCCCTGGGTTCTCCGGGTCAGAAAACACAGGTAAATGAAACCAAAGGACAGGACCATTCGCCCGAGGGGTAGCCTCAGTCAGAGGAACTGGAGGGAACAGTCAAACCTGCAGGTACCTAATTTGCTGACGTCATGAATGTTCCGAGCTTCGTCATCGAAGAAGAGCATCTTGGAAAGGGGGACCTGGGTCTGCTGGCATAACCTGATGAAACACAGATATGGGAGAGGGAGGAGGAGGAGGAGATTGGATTTATACCCCTTGCCCTTCACTCAAAGACTCAGAGCGGCTTACGATCTCATTTCCCTTCCCCTCCCCACAACAGACACCCTGTGAGGTAGGTGGGGCTGAGAGAGCTCTTCTGAGGACTGCCCTTGAGAGAACAGCGCTGAGAAAACTTGTGAATGACCCAAGGTCACCCAGCTGGCTGCATGTAGAGGAGGAGTGGGGAATCAAACCCAGTTCTCCCAGATTAGAGCCTGCACTCATAACCACTACACCAAACTGGAGGCACGAGAGCAGCAGTCCCTCTGTCACTCCCCATCTTCCGGGATGGGTTTTCTTCCTCCCACTTAGAGCGGGATTTGGCAAGGGAAAGGGGAGGGGGATCACCAAGAAAATGCAATTTTTCCGGACTGTACACCGATACCACAATTGCTATCAGAAGAGCAATGATAAAAAAAGGTAAAGGTAAAGGTTCCCTTGCTCGAAAGCCAGTCGAGTCCGACTCTAGGGTTGCGGTGCTCATCTCTGTTTCCAAGCCGAAGAGCCAGTGCTGTCCGACGACGTTTCCGTGGTCATATGGCCAGCATGACTAAACACCAAGGCGCATGGAACGCTGTGACCTTCCCACCGAAGTGGTCCCTATTTATCTACTTGCAATTTCTTGCTTTCGAACTGCTAGGTTGGCAGGAGCTGGAACTAGAGACGGGAGCTCACTCCGTCATGCAGCACACTCGGGTCTCAAACGGCTGAACTACCGACCTTCCACAGCCTGCAGTTCATCGTCTTAACCACTTGAGCCACCGCAGCTCCTGCAATGATAAAACGTCCACGTATTTGGGGGGCTTTATATTCTGGGGTTCCAAGGAGGGATTGGGGAGGGGGTTCCTCACCTCTGGAAGTGGTTGACTTTGCAGCCGGGATAGATCTGTTTGTGGCGGAGGAAGCGATCCAGGCCAAAGAGGTCCAGGAGTTGCGTGGCCCCCCGGACTTCCCCTGTCCTGGGAGAAGAGGCAGGGAAAGGGGCCAGCTTTAGGGGTGTGCGTGTCAAAGAGCACTTCCCGTCCATTAGTGACACAGTGAGATAACAGGGCTATAAATGCGCTATAAGATAACAGAGCTATAACATGATAATAGAGCTATGATTTCTATTTTATTTATTTATTTACTTGTTTCATCTGTATCCCGCCCTCCCTGCCAACGCAGGCTCAGGATGGCTTACGGGATATATGTTAAAACAACAAGATATGACAAAGCACAAGATTTAAGTAAAACCACAATATATAAATGAACTCGTCATCAAGTGCTCGTACAATCTTAAGCGATGGCGCCATTCTCTCAGCATCCGAGTGGCCAGCTAACACCAGGCGTCATTTCCTGCAGGAGTGCACAGGAGCGGAGCTCCGGCAGTAAAGAGCCCAGGGGGCGGGCACATGCAACAAGCCCCACCCCCTGCTCCCAGCAGCCC